GCTTCGGGTTGCGACCAATTCGGGCTGCGACCAGAGTCACGGAACGAATTAAGTTCGTAACCCAAGGTACCACTGTAGTTCCCAGTTTAAGAACGAGTTCCGTTCCCAAGGTCTGTCCTTAAGTCAAATTTGTACGTAAGTCGGAACAGTATTATTGTATAATACTGTATAACTGGTATTGGGTAATGAACTCAAACTATTGTGTTTCTAATTGGGATGACTGTGTATTTAACTTGAATTTTGTTACAGTAGGCTCTGTTCTTAACTATGGGTTGTCCACAAACCGGGCGTTCTTAACCCAGGGACTCCCTGTAGATTGGCCTTTCCAATACAGAACATGAATGGGTTGTTTTGGTTTGTTGGCCATAAATCAGTACAAATTTAATGTAATCAGAGAAGCCAAATTTGTATTGAAAGAATAACTCTCCCCTTTCTTTTTCCTTATCCATATTTAATTCCTTTCAGGGGACAATCCAAACAAAGAGATAAACCCACTCGTGACGGGAGTATTTGGGGCACTCGCTGGTGCTGCCAGCGTCTTTGGTAACACCCCGTTGGATGTTGTGAAGACCAGAATGCAGGTAGGTTGGGGTTATGCAGCTCTTGGCTATGGGTCCCCCCCATCTGGTAACACATTGCTTGGGTTTTAGGACTGATCAGAAGAGTGCAGGGGGTTGACCTTTGAGGTCTGTGTGTCTTTGGCTAGGTCCAACAATGAGGAGAAGGTTAAATTCCAAACATCTCTTGATTAGCTAAGCTGTTTTTCAGCAGAGATGAGCATTTTGTCTGGTTCTGAATGTGTGAATTGGAGAGCCTTGTGGAATTCCTGGTGGATGTTCAGTTTTCATTCTCATACAGAGACTTCATTTCTCCTTTACGAATTTCTCCTTCTACAAAACTCATCTTGGCAAACTTATCCATTTTCTGTTTGGAGGGTGTTATTTTGACTACATTGGGGTCTCTGCACCAGAAATATTTCTGTATTGGTCAGAACTGGGGAACCCACAGGATCCCCAAGTGATTCTGGATTCTTACTTTTCTCAACCTAGCGAACAAGGCCAGTGACCCAAGATGGTTTCTAAATTCCTGAGATTACATGCTGTCATCTACCAACCAATCACCTTCATCTGCTAATAGGACATAATAGGTTACTATCTAAAGAGGTGTGTGTGTGTGAGAGAGAAATATATCTTATACGCAGTGTCAGAGCATGGTGAAGATTCCATCAAAAAGCCAGGAACATAACTGACTGTTCTCTAACTACTTTATTAGAAGATATAGTGTAACAGTACACACACACACACATCCATTCACATGCACAGGATATCCACGAAGGACCAGGTTGGGGAGAGATACTCCTGGAGAAAATCTACCCATGTGGTTCCTAAGAGTTGATACTGACTTGGCACATACTCAATAATCATCTAGAGAATACAAGTATATATTTCATATCAAAGGGATTAAAAGTACTTCTTCCTTAGGGAGTATTTTACTTTTGCTGTTTGGAGGAAGACTACTGAATTTGATGATGTTGTGGTTTGATCCAGTGATATACCTTTTTTGTGAATTTGGGAGGGGCAGGGTTCTTTGTGACTTTCCAAGGGGATTGGCAGAAGAAAGGGGAGGTTCAGTCATGATTCTCATTGAATTTAGACCAGAAGCAGAAATGAAATGGGTGTGACCGGATTGAAGCCAAGTGAGACAAGCTGTTGGGTGATGCAGTGCCCAACATCTTGTTAGTATTGCTAATTCATCCTCCCCTTCCTTCTCCCCTCTTTCTTTTTGTAGGGTCTTGAAGCGCATAAGTACAAGAGCACCTTGAATTGTGCCTACCAAATTATGAAATATGAAGGACCTCTTGCGTGAGTTTGGCATGGCTTTGAAGGATACAAGGGTGGTGGGAGACTTGGTTCGCTGGAATGCTTACAGCAACCCACAAGCCACTTGACTCTTTACGGGTTCATGGTTGTAGTTCAGAAGCTTCCTAAGATCTGGTTCTCACTCCCTTTCTTCTTCCTCTGTAGGTTTTACAAGGGGACAATCCCTCGCCTGGGAAGGGTCTGCTTAGATGTAGCCATTGTGTTCATCATCTATGATGAAGTGGTCAAGGTACTCAACAAAGTGTGGAAAACGGACTGAGAGCTCATGGCAGTGAGCCGGGTGGTCATCTGCCCACCCCATCAGGCAACAGCTGGGATAAAGGTGTGACCAACTGCAGAAGGCATTTGAAAGGGTGGTGTGTTCCTTCATTCTTTTTCCTCTCACTGGGAGTGGTGCCACAGACGCCAAGTGGATGTGAATCCGGTCCCCAAATCACTATCACGTTTTATGATTTTTATTTATCGGAATGAACTGTGGATTGTTCTTCTGTTTGTATGTTTCACTGTAAAGGTCAATTGTGTGAGACAACTGGGGGGTAGGCAGGACAGGGTCATGGGAATGAATTCATGGGTCATCTTCAAATGGTTTTTTTCCAATGGGAGGTCAGGGAATGAGGTCAGTGGGTGGGATGGAGAGGTTTTCTTTAGTGCTCTTGAAAGTTGGGGGAAAATATACATGCTTGTTGGCCCTCTCACTTGTTCACTCTTAGAATACAAGTTCAAGGCAAGTCCTTCCTTTTCAAAAGAGAAATGAATTGAGGATGGTGCAGATGGCTGGGATTGTGTGTGCGTGTGCCTGTGTGTGAGTAATTTGTTTTTGTAGTGCCATTTTTACTGGATGCTTTTCCACCAAAGAGCTTCTGGGAAAGACAGAGGTGGAACACAGGGAGGTCTTCCCAGTAGTCAGCAGGAAAAGGGATCTCCAGCTGACTTAAGTTCATCAGCAAGGTGGTCTGAAGCATCTTTCCCAACCTGATGCTTCTCAGGTCTGTAGAACCATTGGCTGGGTCTGCTAGGATTTCTGGATCTGGTGGTCCAACACTCTTTCAGGGCATTAGGATAGGGAAGGCAAACCCTGAAACTCACAAAAGAGCCCAGAAAAAGTATCTCCATCCCAAAGGAGATTGATGTGGTCTTTATCTTTGTGCCCCCGTCCTTTGGTGGAAAACTGATACTCACCCACTTTTGGGTGAAGTGGTAACCAAAAACAAAACACTGAATACATTCCAAGAATCACCCTTCCATCGTTTTCTTTTGGCAACTTGCAGTTCTTCATGATCACGTTTGCCCTTTTGAGCCACAAATGGACATCCTAGGCTTCTGGCTTAGACAGGTATCTCCAGGGCAGGATAAAAATTCTCCATGTAGGTCTTCTCCTAGCCACATTCAGATAACACGGATGCAGGAAAACTAGGAAGAGCAGCAATTATTGTTGTGCTGGGTTTTCTCAGACCCCATCAGCCTTCACTTCTTGTATCCAAGAGGGGCATGGCGTATCTTGTTCTTCAGGATGTGGGAGAAGAGGATGATATTGCCACCTGGTCTGTTGCGCAACAGACAGAATGGGTCAAGGCTGCTTGGACAGGTGGGAAGTTGCCCCTGGTGGGCTTTAATGTATCAGCTACCTAGAGAAATAGTAGTAGTTATTGACCTTCTATGATGGAGATGCTAAGCCTTGGCAGATAAGATCAGCTCATCTGGAAACTGCAATATTATTCTTCCCCAAACCCTGGATGTTATGTGCCTCCCAACCCTCGTGCCTGGCACTTTGGGTTTTTTGTTCCAATGAATGTGTGTGATTTTTTAAAATATATACATATATATATATTGGGGACCTCTTTTTCCCTTGATCCCTCTCTGGAACATGCAGGAATGTTCCTTGCAGGTTGGACAGAACCTGCCCTACTGTGCCCATTTACTCATTCCATAGACTTCATTGGTTTACGCTGTTTCAGGGGGTAGGGGCAAAGGGAGCAATTGACAATGATTCTTCTTTCAGACCATGCTCCGTGGGGCATCTGGTGGAGAGAAGACCTCCCCATGCATCCTTTCCAAAGGGACTATGTTCTCCTTAGACACTGCCTTAGTTTAAGAACCATAGGAAGTCCTTCGACAAGGCCCTGAGATTTGGCAAACCTGACACTGATTTACCATTTCCTGTACTGTATTAAGAAGGGGAAGGCAGCCCCTTTGTCTCTTCTGCCCTGGTGCCAAGAAAAGTTGGGATGATTCCATTAATCCGTGCCAAACGTTTTGCATCTTTTGTCCCTTTCATTGTATGTGATGGTCTTCTCCTCCCTTGCCTGCCCACCCACTTTCCACATTTAACCCTCCTGCTGCAGGTTAGCTAAATCCAACCTACACGTCATGGTGGGGAGTAGCGGATTAAAAAAAAGCTAAGGCAGATCTGGTTGGCTGCTGTGGTGGGGCTCAGCTGGTCCAGAAAGATTCTGGAGAAAGCTTATATCCAAGTAAGGGTGTAAACTGTATTTGTGGCACAGCATTGTCCAAATGGAGATCCTGCTGTTCTTCCCTTCTCCTTCTGAATGTCAATGTCCGTGAACTTCCCTTCCTGTGGGCTGTTAATTCCCGAGATTCATTCTTATACTACCTATATGACAAAGTTAATGCAGAGGTGGCCAGGGCTAGTAGGTTATTGCTTGTATTTTTACAGAATCCAATGTTTCTTAGATTGAGGATTTAAATTAAATGTTTTAAATGTCTCACTGTATGCCCTGGCAGCCTAACTCTAGTATGGTTTTGGAATTCTTGAGCTGTTCAGCATGGATGCTGACAATAAAACCAACGTTGCCTGGTTATTAAGTCACTTGCCTCTTTGTTTCATTTGAACCCTGCCAAGTTGCTTTCCTGCAGAAGCTATTTTGAACAGTACCGTCCCATGGATGTGCCCTGGTAGGACAGGCTGGAGGAGCTTGGGGTGTTCAGACTAGAGGAAAGAAGGCTGATGAGAGGAGACACGATAGCCATATTCAGATACATGAAGGAAAGCTACAGGGAAGATGGCCAAGAACTATCTTCCACATAACTAGGACCAAGAATAATAGGTCTAAGTTGCAGTGGATAGACTCAGTTTCAGTGGTGATGGGTGCTCCATTGGAAAATCTGGAAGACCAGGTTGGAGAAAATCTGTGTGGTTGCTAAGAGTTGACACTGATTTGAGGGCACATAATCAATCAGTGGAAAGACCCAGCTCCTTGGAGAAGTCCATAACACTGGTAAAGGTGGAAGGAAAGAGAAGAGGATGACCAGCAGCAAGGTGGATGGACTCAGTTATAGAGGTGATGGGTGCACTGTTGGAAGAGCTGGTTGGGAACAGATCATCACGGAGAAAATCTATCTATGTAGTTGCTAAGAGTCTACAACGACTTGATGGCCCATAATCAAATCAAAGTTGCAGTTACCTAGTTTTTGTTTAAGAAAAAGCTTCCTGATGGTAAGATCTGTACAGCAGTGGATTAGGCTACCCCTGGAGGTTGGGAGTCCTCCATCTCTGGATATTTTGGAGAAGGGACTGGATAGCTATCTCATGGATGGCTGAATTGGTTTTTCTGCATATTGTGGATGGTTGGACTCCATGATTCTTGTGGTCCCTTCCAACTCTAGAGAAGCCTTTTAAAGAATGAGTACACCATCTGAAAAGGTCCCCCCTCTCCCTTCCCACATATTTCATAAGGTAAAACCCACGTTAA